GCGACATAGCCATTACGCTAACTGCTGGTCCCCCCACAGGCTTATTTTGAAGTGAATCTGAGACATCTTATCATTGTCTCCAGCTATGTCACTGCGTGTCTCCCAAAGATAAGGCTCTGTTAAATGCATCATGGAATCATTTTCCTGGTGGATCGACTTCCACAAAGAGGCACTGGGCATCTCCTTGCCCTGCAATGACCTGGTGTGGAGGCCCCTTCTTCCTCCTTGCAGACCCCAACTCCAGAGTCAGACTCCTGCTCACACATGCAGTTGTCCTCTTGTGCTGAAAGTCACCAAGGATCCCCACCTCCTAGAGCCTGGATTAGAAGGCACCTTACGTCGTCCAGGCTGCTGTAACAAAATACCAGGCCACGGTTTTGGAGGCCGGCAGATTTGGTATCTGGTGAGGGTGGACTTTCTTGTTTATAGATGACCATATTCTTGCTTGGAAGGCGGAGGGGGCTCTCTGGAGTCTCTATAAAGGCACTAATCTTATTCACTAATGTTATTCATGAGGGTGAAACCCCCATGATTTAAATACCTCCCAAATGCCTCATTGTCAAAAACCCTCACCTTAAGGTGAAGATTTCAGTATGTGAATTTGGGGGGACAAAAACTTTCAGATCACAGCTAAAGGAACCAGGTTATTCAGGTCGGCCTCTCCCCATAGGAGGTCATTTGCCAGCTGGGGCAGCTGCCATCCACCAAGGCCCTCCAGCTGGAGCATTGCGGGGTTCCTCTCCCTCTGCTCACATTCACACAAACTTGGATGACAGTCCCCCTATTTTACAGATGAGGAAACTGAGTACAGGGTGATAAGGAACTGCCTGAGGTCCCACCATTAGTCCGAGGCAGAGGCAGGTTCTCTGATGACCCTGCTCTCCACCAGTCCCCTGGGGTGCTGTCATGGTGACAAGGCCGGGCTCTACCACCTGATGAATCTGAGCAGGTTGGAGGAGGCGGTAGCACTGCTATTGATAGACGACCTTGGGTGTCCTCTGCACATCAGAGAGCCCAGCCCAGACCACCCTCAGTCAGCCCAGACTCTCCCTGAACTTTCCCAGGATCTCAGCCCACAGTTCCGTGCCTGCTCCTTGAAGCTTGCCTTCCTGAGGGGCTCTGTGTCCCCTCCGATGCTGCACCCTGTCCGCCCCGGTGTCCACACTGTCAGCCTCCTCTCCCCCTTTCCTTCTGCCATGCAGTTATCACCGAGCTTTGCCTATTTCTCCGTGTGCTGACAGCTAGAGTGTCAGCTTCTCTTGGACAGAGCAGCATAGGGAGTTCTCTCTACACGTATATGGACAGGATTCATCGTGCATCGTCACTGGATCAAAGAAAATGTTGGGTTTAATTCATCCAGCATTTCCTCTGCTCTGCTACCCCTTCTATGCTGATCAGGGTAGGGGATACCACCACACTGAACATTCACTCTTACTTCCTAGAAACCACGAGAAAAGAGCTCTGCCTCTCTGGTGATTGTTTTAGAACAGCTTTATTGAGATGTAATTACATACCATACAGTTCACCCGTTGCGTATATACAGCTCAGTGGCTTTTAGTATATTCAGAGTTAAGCATCCATCACCATAATCTTCATCACCCCATAAAGCAAAAGTGGACCTGTAGCCATCACTGGACGTCCAACTCCTGCATCTCCCTAAGCCCTTGGCAACTCCAGTCCACTTTCTGTCTCTATGAATTTGCCTATTATGGACATTTAATTTTTTTTAAATTTAGTTTTAATTTGTTGTAGGGCACATGTGCGAGAGAGAGTGAGAAAGTAAGAAAGAAAGCCACTGGGACTCACACCATGATCAGCCATGTGGGAGTCCAGCACCTCAACCCATGACATCTTGCTGGCCCCTCTTGCTGTAATTTTAAAGACCAATGTCAGGGGCCAGCAGGTGGCGTGGCTGTTAAGGTGCTGGTCTTTTACATGGTGGGCCATAGTTCAAATCCTGAACCTGGAGACTTGCTTTATCACTTTCCTTCTTTCTCTGTCTCTCTCTAGTAAATAGAAAAATAGTACTAATAAATAAAAGTAAATAATTCTTAAAAAGAAAAAGACCAATGGTGAGGCCAACAGATGGTGTAATAGTTATGTCACTGGACTCCAATGTAGTCGTCTGTGGTTCAAATTCCGGACCTAGCAACTTAAGACTCACACCAGGCACATGTGCATGCATACCCAAAATCCTGAGAGGGGGACCAGCAGTTAACGTAATGGCTATGTCGCTGGACTCCCACGTGGTCGACCGCGGTTCGCATCCTGGACCCAGTGGCTTAAAACTCAACGTTGGGCGCGTGTGTGTGCGTGCCCAAGATCCCCAGAGGAGAACGGAGGAGAAGGGATTGTGGTGTGGCCATCCCCCCTGGGGGGTGATTTCTCACTTTCTGTCTCTCTGTCTCTCTCTGTCTGGCGAGCGCACACGCCCTATAGCAAGAACCTCTCCAAAAAAAAATCCTGAGAGGACAATGGAGGAGAAGGGATGCAGTGTGGCATCCCCTGTGGGGGGTGTGATTTCTTGCTTTCCATCTTTCTGTCTCTCTAGCAAGCGCACACACCCTAGAGCAAAAATCTCTTTAAAACTTTTTTTAAAAAGATAATCAGTGTGGACCATGAGTAAGGTCCTCATGACAACCCTTGCAAGGGATATTGGTCCATTTTACAGAAGAGGAGTGCAGATGAGTTCTGTGGGGCCACAGGATTAGTTAAGTGATGAAGCCAGGATTGAAAACAGGCCAGCCAGTGGTGTGGTAGTTACGGCAGATGGATCCCACAAGACTGACTGAGTGGTTCGAGCTGCAGACCTGGCAACTTAGGGGAAAAAAAAATACACACACACTGGGTGCCTGAGTGTGCTTGTCCAAAATCTCCAAAGAAGAAATGGAGAAGGGATTGTGGTGTGATCATCCCCCATGACAGGGAGTGCTTTTTCACTTTCTCTCTCTCTCTCTGGCAAGTGCATGCACTTCCTAGAAAAAATTTTTTAAAGGGGAGGGTCCAGTTGCATGCTTGCCGTACCTGACATGGGGCCCTCTGCCTTGGCCGCTGTGGGATGGGTAGGTACTGCATGTCTCCCCCTCCCACCCAAAGCGTGTCTGCAGGGAGGGGGAGGAGAGGCTTCTGTTGTCCTAGCCTGGTGCCCTTGACCTTAACATCTCAGCCACTTCAGATCTGCCCCATTTGGGGCAGGGGTGGATGGAGAAGGGGCAGGGTCCTGCTATACAACGTGTGGTCTGCAGGCCAGCAGCATCACGTCACCTGGGAGCTTGTTAGAAATGTTTCCCCCTCGGCCCCTCCCCCACTCAGCCAGGAGCTGCATTGACAAGATGCCAGGTAATAATCCATATGCGCGGAAAAGCTTGAGAAGTCTTGTTCTAGCACATTCTGCTGCCTAGAAACCTTCAGTAATGCCCAGTAGGATATGGCCGTCTTGGTGGGGCCATAGCAGCAGGAGGAGCTGGACTCTGAGCCTTGCAGCCCCTGGAAACTCAAGGGTCTTGCTCCCTTAGAACTGCTGCTAAAACTGAGAGGGGGAAAAAAGTTCTACTTTCCCTGGGCTGTTTCAGGTCAGATTGTATAGCCTCAAATTGTATTTTTAAAAAGTCAGCCAGAGATGAAACCAGAACAGCAGGAGGGACTTCTTCAATAAAGTGTCTTGGAAAAGCCACCATTTTTTATGTGTGCACCGAAGACTCTTCAAACAGGAACCAGACCCACCGTCAGGAACACAACCCTACATCTTTAAATAACCCGAGGTTCCATTGGCTCCAAGCCGGCAAGGTTTGACAGTTTACACCTGATGACATTTAGAGAACAATTTTGGAGAAAACTGAGGGGGAGGAAATATTTGGTATAACTTGACATTACATCCTCCAGCTGATTGTTCTTTCGTTTGCCAATATACCATTTGTCTGTAAAACACTTAGGCCTTAAAATAGTTGCTGGGGCTTGGTGTCATTGTGGATGAAGGGCGACTGCCCCATTTCTTTGGCTTTTAGACACCCTCAAAATGTTGCAGCGAAATGTCATCCCAGAGGAATTAGCACAACTTATTAAACCCAGATTCTGGCCAAGGAGGGGCCAGCCAGAACTTTGCGGCAGGACCAACTGGCCCTCAGAAGTGACCTCCTAATGCTGCCGCAGTGGTATCTGTCCATGGGCCATATAATTTAGCGGCCAAGCCAGGCCACTCCTGAGAAAGGGGTGCCATTTATGATCCCAGCAGGTTAACAGGCATAAACCAGGATCATCAAGGGCAAAACCCCACCTTTGGCCAGATTCCAGCTGGCCAGTCAGCTCTGCCCCTTTCTAGGAGAAAGAAACAGCCAAGAGAAGGGGTACCTTGGCTCCAAGGTTCTGCTTGCTGAGACTGATGCTCCGGGGCATGGAGACGGGCTTCCTCTCCACAAAGCAGGCCCTGTAGCTCCTGGCACAGGGATCAGAGCCAGCACTGTGTCCCCCCACGTCCCTCTGTGGCAAAGACCATGAACAGCGGAAATGTCAGTCCTTGGAGTGGAGCGAACATGGCGCCCCAGCCAGTCTCTCTTTTTTCTTTCCTCTCTGAGTACACTGAGCTCTAGCTTCTGACCTCCCCTTGTACATTTCATGATCAAGTACATTTCCACTGAAGTTGAATACAGACTCTGGGCTTGCAGTTCTAACCCTGTAAAGGTTACATGGGTGTCCACAGGGCTCAGCCAGTTTCCCATTCACTGCTTCCAAGCCCACTACATCCTCGGTGTACCCTCTGGAACGCTGCCTCGGCCCTGCCCAGCAGAAGGGCCTCATCAGGAAGATAGAGGACAAGGCCCATGTCTGCACCTGGCAGTCCCAAGAGGCCCGCAGAGCCAGGGCAGGGTTCTTTGTACCCTCCAGGGCCAGTGCAGACCCAGGTAGGGAGAGCTGGTTCTGAGAGGCACAGGGTCCCAGGCCTAATCCCGTAGCCCATCCTCTGCCATGTCTCTAACCTGCCCGTTTCTATGTTTGGTCCATAGCCTGAGACTGAAGATGAGAAGAAGCGCTTTGAAGAAGGCAAAGGGCGATACCTGCAGATGAAAGCAAAGCGACAGGGCCAAACGGAGCCTCAGCCCTAGACCCCCACCTCTTGCCGTGGAACCTTGAGCAGCTGCGGCCACAACTGACCCACTTAGAAGTTACCCCCTTGGCCAAGCCCCCACTCACACTGAGAACTGGTGTTGTGTGAAGTATTCGTATCGCAGTGTTAACCTATACTCTCTCCTGAAAACCTGTACACCAAAGCTTTATTTATATCATTCCAGTGTAAATGCTACAAAAGTATTGTCCCAAACGCCGGATACATTCCACGCAAGCCCTAGGGAATAATTCTGAGCACACTGTAAGGTATGTGAAAAATCCAGCACCACTAATAAAGCTGCTGTTCAGCTGGACCCATGAGTCCTGGGTGGTCATTTGTCTTGGGAGGCTGTTTTTCCGCTGGGCATGGGCAGTGGGGGTTCCCATGTGCAACTTCAGCCCTGTACCCCCATGAGCTCACTACCTTCCCCCTGGGTCCCATTGCTCCTGGCTCTAGGACCTGCGTATACCCTAGAAACTCAGTCTGGCTGGTGAGAATGCCCATTTCCCATGAGGCCCTGGTTCCATGTCTTGGCCCAGAAGTCCCACCCTGCTCCCTGGACCTCAGAGACAGCCCAGACCCTGAGAGACTGTGGAGTTCAAGCCACTTTGCCTGGTGGGAGTCCCAATACCCTGCTGCTCCACCATCTAGCTTATGCAGTATGCCAGCCCTGAGCCTTGCTGGGCCTCCCCATAAATGGGGTCCCCTCCCTCGTGCTTATAAGGACTCAGAGAGGTGGTGGGTGGAAAGAACTCAACACGACCTGACCCACTGACACGTATGGTATGTGGAAGCCCCAATTGGTCCCACCCTCATACTAGAAACTGCACAGACACCCTGAGCATGCTATTGGAGGGGGCCTCTGAGCTGCTTGTGGGGTGAGGTCTGTAGGACAGTGTGTGTGTGTCGGTGGTGTTGGCACGAGGCTGTGTATGTGTGAGGCTGTGTGCCTGCATCGCTGTGTTTGTGTGGCAAGCTATGTGTGTGCATCTGTGTCACTTTGTAGTGTGTACATGTGTATAGTATGAAGCTCCAGATGTGTATATCTGTCACTGACCATGTATGTATGTGATGTGAGGCTGTGTGTGTGTACACATTTATGTCACTGCATAGTGTGTGAGTCTGCATGTGTGCATCTGTGCATGGTGAGAGGGTACCTGTGTGTCAGGGTTTGGGCATGCAGCTGGGTCACGGTGTGCCTGTACCTCTGATCCAGCAGCATGGGGGCAGGGGAAGAGGTAAGCCACTAAGGCCACTGCACGGGCCAGAGCCCCATACCGCATGGCTGGAAAAGGCACCTCCTCCAAGCACACCTGGAAGAGGCACCTGGAAGACCGTTCTCAGCTCGGGTTCTACTCAGGTTCATCCCTGCAGCATAAACATCTGTACCTCCTAGGGAAGGAGACTGGCCCCCAACAGCTGCAGCCTTACATGAGGCTCCCTCAGGCTCCTAGAGAGAGACAGCTCAGCTCCAGATGTGCAGAAACATCCGCCAAGAATTTTGGAATCTGTCTGGGGCCCCAGTCCCTGCTGACAGGGTTATTTCCTGCCTGAGAGCTGGGGGAGGGAACACAAAGCCACAGCAAACAGCCCTTTCCCCTGCCTCTCAGCCCCCCTGGCCTGAGGCAGCCTCAGTCGCCAGCTTCACCACCACCCATGCCAGGATGGTGCTCTGGGATGCAGCCTTCAGGGTGAGCAGACGGCCCAGCCAGGCCAGGTGAAGCAAGGCCTGCGAAACTAACACAGGCCACACTATCCCTAGCGGTGCCTGAGCATAGGGTCTCATTGAGGGGAGCAGGTCCCCAAGACATCTACATCTTTCATAAGAAAGCAACCTTGGCATCAAACTTCCTATTTCAGTCCTGGCTTGGTCACTCATCTGTGCGGCTCTGGACAAGCCAGGTACCTAAAACCCACCACTGAGGTGTGTGAAGCACTCTGCAACCACCAGCAGCATGGTCACTTCTCCCAAAGCCAGCTGAGGCCAGGGCAGAGGCCTGGTACGGACAGCAGTGGGTGAGACAGGCTGGTGGAGGGGAGATTGGAG